GCGGGGATGGAGCGGCGCGCGGGCTTTGGTCGGTCCGGGGGTCGTTCTTGCCTCTTCTTCTTCACACTGCTCGGGCTCCGGGGGGTTTATAAAGTTTTTATAGCGCTGGGAGCCCCGGACCGGTTAGAACCGGATTTCACCTCCCGCCGCCGCTCATTGGCCCAGCTGGGGTCACGTGGGCGGGGTTTAAACTCACCTCCTCTGGAGCCAGTGAGGAGGGGGGTACGGGGGGGCAGGGCGCGCGAGACGGCGGCGCGCCGAGGGGGTGGGGGCTCAGTGGGGGAGGCGCCCGTCGAAGGCAATAAATGAGGAGGGGTGCGCAAGCCGGCGGGCTCCGGGTTCCGGCACCCGCCAAGAGCTGGCTTTTGCAAACTACCAAGTTCCTTCCACCTTATGCAACCGAGCCACCCGCTTCTCCAAGCCATGCGACACTCAGGGCGCATCTCAGCGGCTTTCCTTCCTGCTCCCGCTGGGGGCCCCAGAAGAGGGGTTTGCGAGGCCTGGCCGCACCGCCCTACTCCGCTGGAGGCGGGAGGAAACGCGCGGCTTGAGGCACAGGCTGCAGTTCCCAGGGCCCAGGCTGACGCTTAAGTGGGAAAAGAGCGCGGAATCCAGCTTGGCGCAGCCGGACGTGCATCCTTCCGAGCATCCTTCCGAGCTACCACTCTGGGGAAGCCTTTCGTGCACCTCACTTGGAAGGCGGTCCACTCGAGGTGGAGTGGGGGGCCGGAGGGGGGAGACTTTCCATGCAGAGGTGCCTTTTGGGTGCCGTGGGGCAGGTAGGAGCTGTCCTTTCAGCACCCGCTGCGCAGCCGCCTCCCCAAATGCTCTCGAAGCCCCCCAACGCTTGTCCGGGGGCTCTCAGGTTCGAGTGTTCCCGGAACTCGAGACCCTGCTACAGAACGATGAAGCGCGGCCGCCACCAAGGCTTGCCAGCAGTCCCCTCCCCCTACGCTGTAACTGTCTCGGAGACATCTAGCCCAGCTGCCCCTACTCGAAGCGGCCACCGAGCCTGGGCGCTGCAATCGCAGCTGGCGAAATCCCTCCTTCCACACTGTCAAGCTGGCTGCCTTTCGCTTGCGGAAGGAAAGAGGGTGGAGGAAAGCGCCTGGGCATTAGGAAACAAGTAGAGGAACAGGTGTTGTGATGGCAAAAGGGCTCTTTTTGTACCCCTCGGCCAAAGCCAGTGGTCCTGGAGCTAACCAAGCGCACCTGAGGGAGGGCAGGCAAGTGCAGCAGCAAACAAGGTGTCCTGTTGCAGTTAGCAAACATATTTTACTCCTAAGAATTTTTAAAATTCTATTTGAGACCCAGGAGAACACAAAAATAGATGTCCTCAAATGAGGGCTTGGCTCACAGGTGGGATGACACTTAAATAGGTCCCACCTGGTTTTTTGAGGCAAGGATTGAAGCTGGTTTGTACAAATCATAAAGTACAACCACAGTGGGTTCAAATCAGCTATGTTGCAGTCACTGCTCCTGGGCAGCAGGGCTTCTGTGTCTCTTCTTTCCACCTTACAAGTGCCTCCTAGGGCAGCTCCTCCTTACTCCACCCTTGTACCTTTCCCAGAACACAGGACCTCAGGCCAAAGAGAGATACCAGCTCCATTAATCACTGCTACTATACTCCAGTCACATTAGGAACAGTCAGACACAAAAAGGAGACAGGACTCAACAGCTACACTCACAGGGCAGCTTCCGTTTGCTGCCTCCAGCCCCTCATTCCCGCCTTAATTGTAGGGCTTTGCATTATAGCCACATAATTCATGTCTCCCTAATTAAGGCTGTCAACAGTCCCATTGTAAAGCTGGAAAATGTACAGCACCTGCTCTCTGGGAACCCTGTGCCAGGGACTGGTAGTGGGGAGTGCCAGGTGTGTAGGGGGTCTTGCCAAAGGGTGTGTTGACTGGCTTTTCAATCGCAGTGTCTGGCATTTATGCTTGATTTTGGGAAAAGGGATGATGGCCAAGGGGTCTTTAATGCCAGGTATCCAGGCACAGAAAGGGGAAGAGAGGGCTGGTGTAGAGAAAAGTTAGGGGTCTAAAGAGTATGCTCTTACTCTGCTCACAAGATTTCACCTCTCCCCTAGAGGGAGGTGCGGGGAAACAGCTTGCAGAAAGTAAAACGGGAAGACTAAAGACAGTAGCATTTGGTGTTACTGGCTGGTACTTGCTGCTTTGGGGCACCTGAAGCAGAGTTGCTCAGGTAGACAGCTCTTCAAAGGCACTAATCCTCTCAGCAGCTCTGCAGCAAGACCTGACAGGGAGGTAAGGGAAAGGACACAATCTTGACTCTCACAGCAGAGGGCCTGGAACAAGCTCTGCCATGCTGAGAATAAATCGTCTTGGGGCCTACTTAGGGAGCCAGGCCAAAAAACCGAGAGAAACTTCGAAGATTGGAAGTGGGAATCAGGTTGAGATGGGGAGGTCAGGTGGCAGTTAGTTGGGAACAGTGCTTGGTTCTGCTCAGTCCTGATGTGTTACAGGGAAGAAGGCCTTGCCTGGATTAGATTCATCAGGACCTACAGGCCCTTCTGTACCATGCAGGGGGCCTATCTCACTTGGGAGTGGAGTCTGGCCCCTTGCCCTACAAGAGGAGGAGAAAAGCTTGTGTGGGCTGAGTTGACAATAGGTAATTGGATTGTAATCACCCACCTGGCTTCTGTGCCATTGGGGGTGCTGAGCCTTTCAGTGAGCAATCAGTACTGTGTGGTGGGAGGGGGTAGAGATTCAATAGCAAATCCCAGGTGGAGAGCCAAGGGGGAGGAGAAGCAGATGGGCAAATTTTCTATCTCTCCGTCCCCTTTTCCTTGCCCAGATAACTAGCTATTAGTTATTTACCAGCAGATCCAAGGTAGAGCCAAATCTTGTGAAAGTCAGACGGAAGGCATTAAGATGAATGGGTAAAGAGTTAGGGTTGCCGGGCTCGGTGGCTCAGCCTGTAATCCCACGCCTTTGGAAGGCTGAGGTGAGTGGATTGCCTGAACCCGCGGGTTCGAGACCCGCCTGGGCAGCGAGACCTCATCTCTACAATAAATCAAAAAATCAGCCAGGCGTGGTAGCGTGCGCCTGTAATTCCGGCTACTTGGAAGGCTGAGGCGGAAGGATCGCCAGAGCCCAGCAGGTTGAGGCTGCGGTGGAGTGGCCACTGCACTCCAGTCTGGGCGACAGAGTGAGATTCCAACTCAAAAAAAAAAAAAAAAGAAGAGTTAGGGTTTTGGGGAAACCTTTCCCAAAATTTTGTGTTGAAGGATATGCTTGTGGAAAAAGAAAGTGCATCTGAGAGCACAGGCAGCCAATGAGTTGAGGCACCCTGCTCTCCAAACCAGTTGGTGACCACAGCTGGGTTGTATACTTATGGGAGACTCTCACCCTCAATGCTCACCAGAAGCCACTGTCCCAGATAGCCCAAAGATATCTTTGACCAGCAGACCTAGTGGGGGGCTTTCCTGCCAAGCAAAGGGAACACAATTCATCATCAGGAGGGAGATGCCTTTCACCAAGAAAAGAAACAGGAATGGGGCGCTGGAGGCAGAGGGCAGGGCAAAGTGGCAGGTGGCCAGCTTTACTCAGGCTGAAGCAGTGCCCAGACGTGCCAGCCAGTCAGCTCGCTTGAGTTCCAAGGCCTGCAGGAAGCCTTGGACTCGCTCTTCCCGTCTGGCTGAGAGTTTGTGCAAGCGTGTCCGTCGGAGTTGGGCGTCCCCACTGGCCTGGAGCCCCTCTTGCAGCAGCTGCTCTGTCACTGCAGCCTGGTCCCTCTCCAGCTGCTGTCTCTTCCGCTCCTCTGCATACATGTCTCGGGCCTTCTGCTAGAGAAAAGTAGAGATTGGAGTGGGGAGATCATTTCAGGTGAAGGTGGAACTGGGATGGAGGAGGTAGGGAGTGGGGCACAGGGCGGCCCAAATGAAGTGGAATGGTGGAGTGTGTGTTCTGGATTTGGAAAGCTTTGGGAGTATATGTGTGGTAGGTGGTGTCCATGTTGTACAGGCAGGGCAGTGGCAGTTCTGGTATCTCTTGGTTTGATTTGTGTGAAAGCATCTGTATTTTTAAAGGTTTTGCTCAGGTTTGCACTTGGAAGGAAACCAGACTTCTGATTCTCCCACCAACTAGTTTTGTACAAATCCTCTCCTAACCTCATTTCTTCATCTGTAAATTGGGGGTTGTGCCTACCTTGAAGAGTGGTTTTAAAGACTAGAGACAATATATGCAGAATCCTATCATAATTAGCAGGCTCTCAGAAACAGTAATTTTACAAGTTATTGTCTATTCTCTGTTGCAAGGAAGGTCCTATTCCTGTCTGGTTACCCTTCCTTTGGTCTCCCAGGTTACTCTGAGTGCAAGGAAGGTCCTATTCCTGTTGGTTACCCTTCCTTTGGTCTCCCAGGCTACCTTCCTCCCAACTCCTAAGTCATTTTTCAGGGTTCAGCTCCAGACTTGCCTTCTATGTGGAGACCTGATTCTTCCAGCAAATGACCCTCCTATGAACACTGAGCAATAGGGTCAACTCTATTAAGCCACTTATTGCATTCTGTCTACAAGAATAGGTGTTAGTGTCCTGAGTCTACTTTTTCTGTTAGAAAATAAGTCCTTGAAGGTTTGATAGAGCTTCCAGGGCTCTTGGAACCAGCTCTGACAGCAGGTGGTGATCATATGCCCTGGCAGCACTTCTTTACTTTGTATGTGTCTCCTAGAGGGCATAGACTATGCTTTTTCCTCTCTGGCACTTGGACATGAGAAATACTCAATTGACTATCCATGTGTTCCCAGTAGGGCAGGGAGGATGTTCCTGACACAGGAGAGGGGAAAATTCCTTTGGAGGAGAACCAAGGCCTTGCTGTGTCTTGTTGATGCTCACTGTTCCTGCCAGTCTAACTGGCATGCAGAGCCTTTGCATCAGAGCCCCTCCCACCAAACCTATTTGGTGTGTAAGAAACTGTTTTGCTATAGGTATTCTATACCTTGATTATCCTTACCACATTCTACTTTATGTACATGTCTCTGTCCTAATCAACCTGTAAGCACCCTGAGTGCTATCTTCATTTAAAGCATATCTTATATATACACAGCCACTCATCTGTTATCCTACTTGACCCTCAGAATGCAGCTGGGAGGGAAGTATTTTCTGTTGGAGCCAGACATGGAGGTTCAGAGCAGGGAAGTGATTTCCTAAGGTCTCTCAGCAATAAAGGTTTATTACATAAAGAATGATGACACATAAGAATTCTGCACTATCTCTCCTCTAGGCTTTTGAATGATTCCAGGCATCCAAGGGTACTTTTTTTCTGCTATTGTGATGAGTCCCACGTAGAGCTATGAAGACTAGGGCTTCAGCAGTTGCTGCTAAGTTCTCCACCTTGCTCGAAGGGTTTCTTTCTGGCCTTGGTCAGAAGGAATTCTGGGATCTATGTACAGGACTTTGTTGGAGGTAGAGAGATGTATAGGACATAGTTCCAGCGATCCAAGTGCTTATAGGCTGATTAGAATGCAACCATGTACAAAGTACCAAAACACAAGGCAGAATGTGGTAAAGGTCATCAGGGAGCCAAGAGGAAGAGCCATGCAAGCTCAGAGAAGAAACTGGCTGATGAAGGTCAAGGAGCAGTGAAACCGCGTGGACAGGAAGAATAGAGGTGGGGTGTATGGAGGAAGGAGACTATTCTGGCAGTAAGAATAACGGGCCACGATGTATGAAAATGAGGAGTCTGCTCAGGCCAGGGGTTTGAGAATGGGGTTTGAGAAGTTCTTGTCCAAGGACTCTCACCTCTCTAAGGCTATTAATCTGCAAAATGAAGATAATAGTACCCACCACATTGGGTGGTTTGAGCAAAAATTGATAATGCCCAACTTAGTGCCTAGCTATAAACTGTTAGCTGTTCTTCTATCACCACTGCTTGTAGCCAGGACTAAGTAGGCTAAGTTCTGGCAGAACAGAAAGGATAGGGAATACCCAACCACAAAGGAAAGAAATACAGAGCTGGTTAAAGCCAGCACTGGCTTCTTCCAAATGGTGAGTGCCAGACTGAGTACCAGCAATGGGGGCCGTAGCCAAGGCAAAGCCTGGCTCTGTTGGCCAGAAATTAGTGGTATCACTGTTAGGATGTCAGAGTTGGGAGGTTCCTAAAGACCATCTGCTTCATCCTCCTCATTTGACAAAGACACTGAGGCTAACACGGGAATGGACTTGGCCTAGGTCACATAGTTGGTTGAAGTTCCCTTGGCTTATCCAATAAGGTAGCTTTGTTTTCAAAAATTATATATATATATTTTTAGTAGGAGTCTCACTCCGTTGCCTGGGTTGGAGTATAGTGGCATGCTTATGGCTACTGCGGCCTTAACTTGCTGGGCTCAGGTGATCCTTCCGTCTCAGCCTTCCAAGTAGCTGGAACCACAGGCACATGCCACCATGCCTGGCTAATTTTTTAATTTATTGTAGAGACGAGGTCTGGCCATGTTGCCCAGGCTGGTCTTGAACCCTTGGATTCAGGCAATCATCTCACCTCTGCTTTCCAAAGTTCTGGGATTACAGGTGTGAGCCCAGCTATAATTTTTTTTAAAAATAGAGATGAGGTCTTGTTATGTTGCCCAGGCTGGTCTCAAATGCCTGGGCATAAGCAATCTTCCTGCCTCAGCCTCCCAAAGTTCTGGGATTAAGGTGTGAGCCACTGTGCCTGGCCTAAGGTAGGTTTTTGAGAAGACAATGGAAAATGTATTTTGTGCCAGTGTATACGTTGTACTTTCTAGGGGTGGAGAAGCTGGTGACCTGCATCTGGACACTTATCTACCCAGTCTCCACATTGGTCAGGATCTACTCTTCTAATCTCTGAGGTGTTCTAAGTTCTTCTCAGGTACTTACCCTTGGAAAGTCGAAGCCAACAGAAGTCCTAAGGGTCAACTTCTCTCTCTTTGACCATATGTCTACTTTCCTTGTGTAATGACCAATCAAGGGTAAGAGTGTTAATTCTTTCCTTAGAGACTTTTTGTACAGACCTTATACAATCTTGGTGCAAGGGCTCCAAGCAGCTCACTCTAAGAAATGTGGCTCTTGGCTGGGCTCAGCTCTCATCACTTTGGGAGGCCGAGGCAAGTGGATTGCCTGAGCCCGTGGGTTCGAGACCAGCCTGGGCAACTTGGTGAGACTTCGTCTCTACGATAAATTAAAAAATTACTTGGACATGGTGGCTCATGCTTGTAGTTCCAGCTACCTGGAAGGCTGAGGCAGAAAGATTGCCTGACCCCAGCAGGTTGACGCTGTGGTGGCCGTGAGCATGCCACTGCACTCCAGCCTAAGCAACAGAATGAGACTCTAGCACGCGCGCGCGCGCGCGCGCGCGCGCGCACACACACACACACACACACACACACACACACACACACACACACACACACACACCCCGAAATGTGGCTCTAACCATTAACCTAAATCCCTCCTGGACATTACACCTGTCTGCTTCTCTTCTCTCCTTGGCAGAATCAGAGAACAAGATGTCATAACTCCTCTGGTACTTAAATCCTCAAGTTCTCTACCAGTTTGCTGGGGGGTCATAGAGGGGTGCCTGGAGAGAGGCTGCAGGTCCCGGGCTTCAAACCATTTCTTAATCAGTCAAGTGCAATGGCTCATGCCTGTAATCCCCGCACTTTGGGAGACAGAGGTGAGAAGACTGCCTCAGTCCAGGGGTTCAAGACCAGTCTGGGCAACTTGGTGAGACCTGATATAGTGGTGCATGCCTGTACGATAGCCTCAGCCCAGCAGGTTGAGGCTGTGGTGGCATGAGTATGCCATTGCACTCCATCCTGGGTGACAGAGTAAGACTCCAACTCAAAAAGAAACCAAAACATTTATTAGTCAATGAAATGTCCTCCTCTAAGCTACAACCAGCAAGCCCAGGTCAGTAGCAAGGGGAATGCATTTCTGAGGGCTGCCCTCAGGCATAAAGAGCACCTCCTACTAGAAACACCATATTCTGAAGCACCCCCAGAGTTTCTCTGGCTGGGGAATTGTACTGGAGATGGGATGGGCAGAATGTTTTGAGAGAAAAGTCTGATGAAGGGCCCTAAGATAATCATGTGGTGACCAATACTGGCCACTGTTATCTGAAAAATGGACTCTGTTCTAGGCACTACACTTGGCACTTTACATGTTAGCTTACCGCATTCTTATCACAAACCTGCAAGGTAAGTATTATTATAATTATTAATCCTCTCATTTTATAGATGAGGAAAATGATACTCTGAGGTGTTGAATAACTATATTCAGTCACTAAGTAGGCACTAAGTAGCTAAGTAGGCAGTGCTGTGATTCAAACTCAGGACTGTCTGAGACAATAACTTAACATTTAACTTTTTCTGAGGAAAAGATAGTGGCTACCTGAAGAGCCCTAGAAATATAATGGTCAATTCAGCGTGGTTTAAACTGTGACATTTACATCAAAGGAGGCTTAGTGAGGAAAATGTGTCTTCTCCCTCTAATATTATCCTTGGAGATTAGATGGATACATTTTTTTTTGAGTCAGGATCTCACTCTGTCACCCAGGCTGGAGTGTGGTGGCATGCTCACAGCTACTGTACCCTCGACCTTTTGGGCTAAGGTAATTTTTCCACCTCAGCCTTCTAAGTAGTTGGAACTACAGGCATGCACCACCATGTCTGGCTAATTTTTTTTTATTTATGGTAGAGACAAGGTTTCACCAAGTTGCCCAGACTGGCCTCAAAACCCTGGGTCCAAGGCAATCCTCTCATCTCAGCCTCCCAAAGTGCTGGGATTACAGACATGATACCCTGTGCCCAGCCAACAAACACTTTTTACTCATCT